GTTACACGGAAAATACACGGAACGATGAATGATGAGCGCACGATTGGTACACGCACGATACACGCACGCAACACGCACGATACACGATGAACGCACGGAATAATGGTCAGTTTGAATTTTAGAAGGTCTGTACTATACAGTAGATTTATGGTTCTGTGTATCCTCCCATACTATACTGTAGATTTATGTTCTGTGTATCCTCCCATACTATACTGTAGATTTATGTTCTGTGTATCCTCCCATACTATACTGTAGATTTATGTTCTGTGTATCCTCCCATACTATACTGTAGATTTATGGTTCTGTGTATCCTCCCATACTATACTGTAGATTTATGGTTCTGTGTATCCTCCCATACTATACTGTAGATTTATGTTCTGTGTATCCTCCCATACTATACTGTAGATTTATGGTTCTGTGTATCCTCCCATACTATACTGTAGATTTATGTTCTGTGTATCCTCCCATACTATACTGTAGATTTATGTTCTGTGTATCCTTCCATACTATACTGTAGTATTATGGTTCTGTGTATCCTCCCATACTATACTGTATTTTTATGGTTCTGTGTATCCTCCCATACTATACTGTAGATTTATGTTCTGTGTATCCTCCCATACTATACTGTAGATTTATGTTCTGTGTATCCTCCCATACTATACTGTAGATTTATGTTCTGTGTATCCTCCCATACTATACTGTAGATTTATGTTCTGTGTATCCTCCCATACTATACTGTAGATTTATGTTCTGTGTATCCTCCCATACTATACTGTAGATTTATGGTTCTGTGTATCCTCCCATACTATACTGTAGATTTATGGTTCTGTGTATCCTCCCATACTATACTGTAGATTTATGTTCTGTGTATCCTCCCATACTATACTGTAGATTTATGGTTCTGTGTATCCTCCCATACTATACTGTAGATTTATGTTCTGTGTATCATCCCATACTATACTGTAGATTTATGTTCTGTGTATCCTTCCATACTATACTGTATAGATTTATGGTTCTGTGTATCCTCCCATACTATTCTGTTTTTTTATGGTTCTGTGTATCCTCCCATACTATACTGTAGATTTATGTTCTGTGTATCCTCCCATACTATACTGTAGATTTATGGTTCTGTGTATCCTCCCATACTATTCTGTAGATTTATGTTCTGTGTATCCTCCCATACTATACTGTAGATTTATGTTCTGTGTATCCTCCCATACTATACTGTAGGTTTATGTTCTGTGTATCCTCCCATACTATACTGTAGAATTATGTTCTGTGTATCCTCCCATACTATACTGTAGATTTATGGTTCTGTGTATCCTCCCATACTATACTGTAGATTTATGGTTCTGTGTATCCTCCCATACTATACTGTAGATTTATGTTCTGTGTATCCTCCCATACCATACTGTAGATTTATGTTCTGTGTATCCTCCCATACTATACTTTAGATTTATGGTTCTGTGTATCCTCCCATACTTTACTGTAGATTTATGGTTCTGTGTATCCTCCCATACTATACTGTAGATTTATGGTTCTGTGTATCCTCTCATACTATACTGTAGATTTATGGTTCTGTGTATCCTCTCATACTATACTGTAGATTTATGTTCTGTGTATCCTCCCATACTATACTGTAGATTTATGTTCTGTATATCCTCCCATACTATACTGTAGATTTATGTTCTGTGTATCCTCCCATACTATACTGTAGATTTATGGTTCTGTGTATCCTCCCATACTATACTGTAGATTTATGGTTCTGTGTATCCTCCCATACTATACTGTAGATTTATGGTTCTGTGTATCCTCCCATACTATACTGTAGATTTATGGTTCTGTGTATCCTCCCATACTATACTGTAGATTTATGGTTCTGTGTATCCTCCCATACTATACTGTAGATTTATTTTCTGTATATCCTCCCATACTATACTGTAGATTTATTTTCTGTGTATCCTCCAATACTATACTGTAGATTTATAGTTCTGTGTATCCTCCCATACTATACTGTAGATTGATGGTTCTGTGTATCCTCCCATACTATACTGTAGACTGATGATTCTGTGTATCCTCCCATACTATACTGTAGATTGATGGTTCTGTGTATCCTCCCATACTATACTGTAGATTGATGGTTCTGTGTATCCTCCCATACTATACTGTAGATTTATGTTCTGTGTATCCTCCCATACTATACTGTAGATTTATGGTTCTGTGTATCCTCACATACTATACTGTAGATTATGTTCTGTGTATCCTCCCATACTATACTGTAGATTTATGGTTCTGTGTATCCTCCCATACTATACTGTAGATTTATAGTTCTGTGTATCCTCCCATACTATACTGTAGATTGATGGTTCTGTGTATCCTCCCATACTATACTGTAGATTGATGGTTCTGTGTATCCTCCCATACTATACTGTAGATTGATGGTTCTGTGTATCCTCCCATACTATACTGTAGATTTATGTTCTGTGTATCCTCCCATACTATACTGTAGATTTATGGTTCTGTGTATCCTCCCATACTATACTGTAGATTTATGTTCTGTGTATCCTCCCATACTATACTGTAGATTTATGTTCTGTGTATCCTCCCATACTATACTGTAGATTTATGGTTCTGTGTATCCTCCAATACTATACTGTAGATTTATGTTCTGTGTATCCTCCCATACTATACTGTAGATTTATGGTTCTGTGTATCCTCCCATACTATACTGTAGATTTATGGTTCTGTGTATCCTCCCATACTTTACTGCAGATTCCTTATTATTTTGGGGTATCAGTTCTTGTCTTGCCTGAGACGAAAATAGTGGAAAGCAAGACAAAGGGATCAACAACGGCGTCAACAAATGTTAAGTTTTCTTCTTAAGTTATTATGATAGGAACTACTTATGATAGATCATTGATTTTTAATATAAAGTTGCATTACTATCAGTACATATCAGTTTGATGACTATTTTGAGGCCCTTTCCCTAGGCCATGGTCTAGTGAATTTGAACTAATTAGCAATTTTCAATGTTAAGTTTTCTGCTGAAGTCAGTTTGATAAGAACTACTTGTGATAGATCAATGGTGTTTTGTATAAAGTTGCATTACTATCAGTACAAATCAGTTTGACAACTATTTTGAGGCCCTGTCCCCTGAGACATGGTCCAGTGACTTTGAATTAATTAGCAATTTTCAATGTTAAGTTTTCTGCTTAAGTTAGATTGATAGGAACTAGTTACAATAGTCTACGATATTTTCAATAAAGTTACATTACTGACTGTACATCACAGTCTGTCGACCATTTCTACTCCTTGCCAACAAGATCATGGTCCAGCGACTTTAATAAGCAATGTTGCTGTCCATCAGATTGTCTTTTTCTGAATTTTATGCCGACAGGCAAGACATATTTTTGTGTCAACAATTTATTGTAAATTATGTGCTGTACCTGAACAACAAAATCAATGATTACTAATTTCCTGTATGAATATCTGCAGAATTTGTCAAAACCACTAAAAGAAGTATCCACTAAAATTCCTCATTTCTTGAATTGAAGAAAGTTAAAGAATAAACAAACAAATAACTAAAGATTGAGCCACAGGAACAACACCTACAGCCTGAGTTTATCTGGAAGGATCAACATTCCCTCCTCCACAGTTCATGTGTGACTCATATTACAATCTATAGATGATCATGAGTCATAAACATTGTTATGGTATCATATATTATCATTTGGCAAATGACTTGCTTAAACACAGAAGACATTGCCAATAAATATAAACCACTAGCATATATAATTTTAACCATTATTCATGACCAAGGGTGCAGATTGAAATGAAAACCAAATTTCAGGACAATTATAGACAAAACTGTTACATATGAAAACAGCAGACACAGATCCAGGATGTAAGGTTACTTAACTCACGACCCTAACAAAATTGGAAATATGATATATATAAATATAAAGAAATGCCGGATAAACTTGAGTAGACAGTAACCAAACAAAACAACCAAAGGGTTTTTGTTTACAATGGTTTTCTTTTATTTTTAATTAGTCATATTGTTTTAAACAGTGATTTTATATATATGATTAGTAATTTGTCTGTGATTTATTTTATCCAAATGAAACCAAAGAAAAACGAGAAAAATCATCTTGCTGTCACATTCCCCATGAGTATGGATGTGGCTGTAAGTCGCTTTTAATCAATCAGTCAATTGATTGATTGATTGATTTTTAATGATTAATTGATTTTTGGTTGCTTAATGTCCAGTGACAAATATTTCATGCATGTTAAGGACGAGAACAAATACACAATAAATACAATACAGGGGCAGATCCATCCATTTTTAAAAGGGGGGTTCCAACCATATGCCCCCATTCAAAAGCATTGATCGCCAAAAAAAGGGGGTTCCACCCCCTGGATCAGCCACTGCAATAGGTAGGTCCTGTAATAGAGACCGTTTGACGAAGGTTGGAAAAATATCAATCAATTGATTCATGTACATATAGATTTAATGGAAATGAAATTTACAAAGTTGTTTTATAAATTGTTCATTCCAGTTTTGTGGGCCTTCAATAATGAGCAAATCCCATTCCACAAAGCAAGCTATAAAAGGTCCGACATGACAAAATGTAAAATTCAAACAAGGAAAACCAACAATCTGATTTATGAACAAAACAACAAGCAAACACTAGTATGATATACAGCATCAAACGACAACCACTGAATTACAGGCTCATGACTTGAGACAGACACATACAGGGGGTTAAAGATGTTAGTTAGCACCCAATTCTCCCCAAAACACGAGACCGTCATTTAGCAGCATAACATAAGAACAAACTATAAAAAATCAGTTGAAAATGACTTGACTCCTCAGATTGATTCAAAGTACAAAAACGCTAAAGACACAAAGTACCAATCTGTTACTGAAAGCTAGTTCAAGGCCAATAACATCTAATAAAACATCATGTATCCAAGTCAATCTCAACACTTTAAATCTTAGTTACGATTTTACAAATGATGCATGGCCATTTCATAAAAGAATCACAACACTAAAGCCTAAAATTAAAGGAGTTTAAAACACTTTTCTACAATAGTCAAATAATATAGTCGAGTTGTCCTAGATAAGAAATATGATTATCTGTTGTCTTTATTGACGGTTTTATTAAACAAGTAACTTTCTTGAAAAATAAAAGTTTAATATAGATCATCTTCATCAACCAGGACAATATAAATATGTAAATAGGCCATTTAATAATAATAGTCAAATAATCAAAATTTTTCGGGAAAACTAAATTATTAAGTCATTGCACATGGTCTTCATATTCTCTATTTATACGGTGGTGGATCCATGTGTGATGTGGTCATCATTCCCCCTGTTGCCTGTCCTCCTGTTGTCATAGGCATTACATGTGGTTGTCCATATGATGATGGAGGTGGGTATGCCGGGTTCCCACCCATCGGTCCACCCGCTGCAGGACCAAAAGGAGAATAGTCTGGTGGCGGGTGTGAATATGGCATCCCATGATGTTGTAATCCACCGGTGTGCACTTAAAAAAAAGAAATATTTACGAATTGAATGCTTCTTTTTGTAAATTTATTGGGATTTAAAAGCGTCATACCCAACTATATCAGTCCTATTCAGGACCGATAACTCTGTCGATAAATATTGTCGGGTATACAATGTTGTTGAAATCAGAGCAATTGTATTATATGTCTCTGTTGAAATGTATACAATAACGAATTTTTTTACACAAGTTTAACTTGATATCGATTTATTGAATGAATGGATTTTGCTTAAAATATTGAATTAAAAAAATAAATAATAAAATCATATTCAATGAAATCTCGTTTAATTTTTTACGAAATAATACCATATCCATTTAAATTAAAATTTGAATCAAAATATTTCTTTAAAATAATTATAGAAACATAAATATTAGTTTGATTATCTTTTAAAGCAAAAATTATTTTTTTAAAGATTTTTTTTTTATAATATTCATATTTTCTTAAAGTTTATTATGATACATACTTTTTCTGGTTTGACACGGGGAAGAGAAGATATTTATTTGTACAGTTATGAAAACTTTTGTATATCACAAAATTTGAACTCTGGTAATACATGTATACACAGGATGTTTAATGTCACCTGGTTGCTTTTGGTTTGCACGTCTACCTGACAATATGTTGTTATGTAACATTACATCCAAAGTCAGAGTTCACCTGTTCGTCAAGTGATGGGATTTTGAAGGTATGGAATATTTATCTATAATAATTGTTGGGATTTTTTTCTCACTTGGGACGTAAATATTTTTTTGTTCTAAAAGGAATGTATAAATATATTTCTAAAGAAAGATAAATTATACAGAAAACAGGAAAAAAACCTTTTAAAAAAAGAAGAGAAAAACTTTTATTATAAATTTTATTGTTAACTATTTTCTGGTAACAGTATATCCTGGATATCTGTCAAAATAAAATGTTCCCGTGTCACACTTAAAATAATATTTTTTTAATCAATAAATTTTGAAATCAATCATATCGAAATATCACCAAAGAAAAAATAACAGAAACATCAGAGATTCTACATGAAAATTAAATTAAATCAAGGAAAGTCTTACTATACAAATCCTCGATTTGATGCAACAATTCCATATACATCATCCGCCATTTTGAAAAATCCCGAAATATTCACTTTTTTTAATCGATTTTTGACCAAAATTGCCCAGAAATTAAACTGTTTTAAATAGTATTTTTCGCCAGATATATGTTTGAATATACTTAATCGATTTGCAAAGTTTTATTTTTATTAACGGAATTTCTTTATTTGTTATACAAGTAGACATGGGTATCGGTACATTTAGCATTGAGTCAACGGAGAAATAACGAGAAAAAGTACATGTTTTTACGATTCTCCAGTAACCGAATTTAATCAAAAATTAAACTGTTAGGACCAACATTGTTTGATAGAAATATGTTTGAATATCAAGGATTGATTTGCAAAAGTTAGAAAACGGGTCAGGTTCATGAGAAAACTAAACTTTATTGAAGCACCTATGCATTTTATATGGGGCAATATAATACAAAATGGCGGCTAGTATACGTCACAAAAGTCACGTGATGTCTGACTTAGTTGGATATGTGACCGAAGTACATTTTGTATTTCCGCGCTTCATTCTATAAATATGCGCACGGTCAACGCTTTTACAACCCAATAAAATTACTAAAAGACGCATTCAATACTTATTATTACATTTTATTGCTAGGATCATGAAAACACGATTTCTATCAAGTTTTTCTTTTATTTACCTGTGCACTTTATTGTGGAAGCTCGTGTCATCATGAAAGTTACATTTCATTTTGTTTTGAAATGAAGGTCAATTCAGAATGACACGAGATTACTGTTATCCAATCAAAATAACGTATTATAATGAAACATACATGTAATGTAATTATAAATAATTGAAATAACCTTATTCATAAATTAACAAGAGTGCACACGCTGAAATGTCTCGCCTTCTTTACTAATCATTGATATTATGTTGATAGTCCTAAATATAAAGCTTTACTACAACTATCACATACACTTGACATGATCCAAGAAAATGAGGTCAAGGTCATATAAACCAAACAAGAAATACATCTACACCTTACAATCATTCAATACACTAAATATAGTTGAACTATTGTTTATAGTTTCTAAGATACATACTTAACCAAGAAAACTAAACATTGACCAATGAACCATGAAAATGAGGTCAAGGTCAGATGAACCATGCCAGACAGACATGTACAGCTTGCAATCCTTCCATACAACAAATATAGTTGACCTATTGCTTATAGTATTAGAAAAACAGACCAAAACACAAAATCTTAACACTGAGCAATGAACCGTGAAAATGAGGTCAAGGTCAAATAAAACCTGCAAGACTGACATGTACATTATAAAATATTTCCATACACCAAATATAGATGACCTTTTGCATATAGTATTAGAAAAAAAGACCAAAACTCAAAAAACTTAACTCTGACCACTGAACCATGAAAATGAGGTCAAGGTCAGAAGACACATGCCAGCTAGACATGTACACCTTACAATCATTCCATACACCAAATATAGTAGACCTATTGCATACAGTATAAGAAAAACTGACCAAAACACAAAAACTTAACTATAACCACTGAACCATGAAAATGAGGTCAAGGTCAGATGACACCTGTCAGTTGGACATGTACACCTTACAGTCCTTCCATACATCGAATATGCTAGACCTATTGCTTCTAGTATCTGAGATATGGACTTGACCACCAAAACTTAACCTTGTTCACTGATCCATGAAACGAGGCCGAGGTCAAGTGAAAACTGTCTGACAGGCATGAGGATCTTGCAAGGTACGCACATACCAAATATAGTTATCCTATTACTCATAATAAGAGAGAAATTAACATTACAAAAAAATCTTAACTTTTTTTTCAAGTAGTCACTGAACCATGAAAATGAGGTCAAGAACAATGGACATGTGACAGATAGAAACTTCGTAACATAAGGCATCTATATACAAAGTATGAAGCATCCAGGTCTTCCACCTTCTAAAATATAAAGCTTTTAAGAAGTTAGCTAACACCGCCGCCGCCGCCGGATCACTATCCCTATGTCGAGCTTTCTGCGACAAAATTCGCAGGCTCGGAAAAATCAGGAGAGTATCAACATACAGATGTGATCAATTTCAGTAATGAAAAAATTGTCTAAAATCTCATTTTTGTATATTTTACTGTTTCCATACGAAAGATTAAACCAATACACAACACACTTTTTACATGTCATTGTGATGTATTTCATGATAGTTGCATTCTGTTAATTTCCAAAACAAATGATTGAATCACATCTGCTTTTCCAATGTCGACCTTAACAAAATATACCGTGTTGAGAAATACCACTGAAATACTAAAGCCAAATTAATATATCCGTAATTGTGATTGATCGATCGTTAATGTTAATTTTCACGAGCTCAACAGAACACCTGTCAATCACTCATTGACATAATAGAACCTCGTTCAATTTTTCCGCGAGAATCTGCTTATTATTCATTTAAAATAAATTGTTAATTGTATTTTAAACTAGTTGTAAAAAGTGGTAATTTATGAGGAAGCTAACCTTCCTGTATGCTAGAAGTGCTTAAGGTTGGTCTGTTTAACAAGTTCATTATTGTAATAATAATGTTCGTGCTAATTAAGGAAACAATAAGACGGTAGAACATACCAATAGTGACTGTTCCAGCTTGTCGTTGTTGTCTCTGTTTTATTCTTTTTTGTTGATGTTTATGAGTGATGACACAGCAAACTATTATACCAATCACTATAGCAACGACAACCACTCCTCCAACAATTGACCCGGCTATTGTTCCAATACTGAAAAAAAAATAATTTCCAGGAAGGTCACTCGATCAACAATACTGACAATAAGCTATAAATATGCTATATTGTTAGGCGTTTGGCTTCCCGAACCTCTGGTCTCGAGCATATAACTCTGGGTTTGATTTTCGTTTCCTATCAATCAAACTCGTGCAGATGTTTATGATACCAAGGATTTATACAGTATTTAATTTACTATATAAATTTTTGATGATATCATGTTGGCTATACACATTCATCGGTACAGTTATGTTATTTATTTCATATCGGTTAGGAATTAGCTTCTCTTATTGGATAACAAGGGGCCTCATGACATTCTTTATTCTTTAGTAAAAAATTCCATCTGTCTTTAACAGAAAAAAACGGACCAGAAAACCGGTCGTTAACGGACTTTTACATGTTAAGGTGTAATACCACCATTGATTTTCCCCTATTAGTCTTTGTTAAATTTGCACTTTTCAAAAAAATGTGCAGAATTTATCTTTGTTTCAAATAAAGAAATACTTGGCATTAGTAAAGATTTATCCTGTCCAGTACTATAGAAAAAATTTCACATAACATTTCATTGCATATAAGAAAGTAACCATCACTGTAAGTTAACCAATCAAATTTTCCCCCTTTTTTAACCTGTGTACAAGCTTTAGTAACCATGTAACCTCAAGTTTCCAAAATATTCAATAGAAACCCCAAATAAAAAAATAATGGTGCTTTGAAATACCCAAGATATATGTTTATGACCCAGAAATGTTTTACTGCAATGAAATGTAGGATCAATTACCTGCAACTGTCAAATTCAAGGGAATATTTTTTTTCGACCTATTTTCGTTGCACAACCGGATGTGACGTACTATGATTTGGTGGTATTACACCTTAATGACCAGTGGGGCGTGGTTTCTCTGTTTAGAGTGATGTCCCTTTAGTAAAACGCAATCGCGATTCGTTAATTATAAAATCATAGAAAACTATATTTTTTATTCATATACTGAAATATTGAACTTAAATGAATGGCAGTGACTTATAGTTATCACTATGACTGGTCTTAACTCTTTCCTATAGAAATCGTACAATTACTCGAGTTTGCTTTGAACAATTTGAATTTATGAGAATTTTTAAAAACATGATTCCTCAATGAAATAATTTAAACATAATAGTTATTGAAGAACTGGTCATTATCGTGATACATGGACTGCCCGTAGGACAGTGGTATTGACTGCGACAGCGATAATGACCTCGCCTACGGCTCAGTCATTATCGCTTTCTTAGTCAATACCACCAGAGACATATTGTATTATATGTCTCTGATACCACTGTCCTGTGGGCAGTCCATATATCACGATAATGACCAGTTTTTCAATAACTATTATGTAAATCCAACACAGATCTAAGACAGTTCAGCCATGTATTGAACGTAAAAAAAGATGAAAGACCATGGGTATTGTTGTGGGTGTAGTCATGGTTGGAGAAATTTTCCTTTACAAGATAGAATACCATTGTTGATGAATTCATTTTTTGTTGAGTAATGAAGAATATGATGCCAAACTATAATGATTTACGACAAAGGCATATATTTGGTTGATATTTGACGAAATTGGCTTAATTTAATTCAAGGACAGCAAGTTGTTTTTTAAGATATCAAGTAAAAGCTGTTATGACATTATTAAATAGCTTTGTGATTTTTGTTAATAACATACATTATAAAGATTTTTAAATTGAAATTTCATTCTTGCCTATAAGAAATTTGGTCTTTCCATTAATGACATGTTTATCTTTGTAAACACTGTTTTTGTTTTCTGTATACCCATCAATTTTTAATGCTGCATACGAAACAAAGCTTTATATTTAACATCTATACATCCAGCTGCAGAGGATCCCATGACCTGGTCAATAACATCAGTGCATCGAAATGTTAAAAAAAAGTCAAATCTTACAAAGTTCATGAGTTTTACGTCTAAAAGATGTAACATTGGGCTATTTCCAAAATTTCCAAGACAGTGTAAATGTAAAAATACGACGAATCCCTGTAGGAGAATAACGTAACGAAGTTACCCGTCTACACGCCAGAAGTGTTAAAAAAAGTCGTATCAAGTTAATGGTCAAGAGCTAGTCACAATAATTTTCAGACTTCATTAACTGTGGTAACTTTTAAGGGTTATAAAAATGGGTTTACTATAATGGTAGTGATGTTTTTATGGTAAAACGCTAAGATTTGCTAAAAAAAAATATTAAAAAAATGCAAAACTTCATCAATATTGCTCATTGTGTGTATATCAAAATATTCAGACTTACTTGCTGCAACATTCTCGACTGTAATAATATCCACAGCATCCAGTACCACAATAGTAAAACGTTGTACCACCGTAGGAATTGCTGTAGTAATAACAGAAATCTCCACACGAACAACCTACAATACAAACATTTAAAACAAAGAGATAGAGATAAGTTCGTTCATTAACTATATGCCACTGGAAGTAAAGTAAGCAACAATCAATCAATCGATCATAATAATAACAATTGCCTTAAGTTAAATGAATAGAAACGTATATTTGCCAACCACCGTTCGTATGACAGCATGCCTGTCCTTTTTAGTACGAAAACTCAAACTAGTATTGCTTTTCTGTTAAGATAAAATAGAGAATGGAAATAGGGAATGTGTCAAAGAGACAACAACCCGACCATAGAGCAGAATACAGCCGAAGGCCACCAATGGGTCTTCAACGCAGCGAGAAAATCCTGCACACGGAGGCGTGCTTCAGCTGACCCCTTAACAAAAATGTGTACTAGTTCAGTGATAATGGACGTCAAACTAAACTCCAAAACATATAAATGAACTAAAATTAAAAAGCATACAAGACTAACAAAGGCCAGAGGCTCATGACTTGGGACAGGCGCAAAATTGTGGCGGGGTTAAACATGTTTTGTGAGATCTCAACCCTCCCCCTATACCTCTAGCCAATGTAGAAAAAACAAACATACAGCAATACACACAGCAAATCTCAGTTTAAAAGAAGTCCGAGTCCGATGTCAGAATAAGTAACAAACGAAACTAAGCAAAATGACAATGATACATAAATTAACAAAGGACTACTAGCAGTTACTGACATGCCAGCTCCAGACTTCAATTAAACTGATAGAAAGATTATGTTTTCATCATATGAAAATCAAGCACAATCCCTCCCGTTAGGGGTTAAGTATCATATCATCATATAATATATGAGAAGAACATAACCCGTATCATGCCATCAACTGGTTATAGAATAAATGTGTTTAATTCCGATGCAAAGACCCTATAAGTGAATCAATATTAACGCCAAAATATGCAACTTTAATGGCCTGACAACAGTATCGTAACTATATCCCTTCTTAATAAGTCTGTTTAAAGGTTTGGTTAGATTTTGAGGTGAATGCCGACATTTTTGTGCTTTGTAAAGAATATTAATTACCATAAAAGATTGGATGTGAAATACCTGAACGTATAAGATGTCAGCATGTTGATTTATATTTACGAATGATGTCCTTGTACCGATGATAAAATTTAGTAAATGTTTTGACTAGTTTGTGATATCAAAAACCCTGGTGTAATAATTTTTCAGTAATACATAGATTTCTTTCGTTAAAATCAAATACGTTGTTACATACACGAGCGAATCGAACAAGTTGAAATATATAAACACCATAAGATGGCGACAAGGGAACGTCACCAACTAAAAATGGATAATTAACAATAGGAAATGAAAAATATCATCTCTTTTATCATACATTTTGGTATTAAACTTCCAGTTAAAGATATTGATATCAAGATCCAGGAAAGGGCAGTGTCATTGTTAGTATTAGCTTTATTTAAAATCAGTTTAGCAGGATAAATCGCTTTAGTGTACATACTGAAGTCGAGGTGATATTCCTCGACAGAAAAACTGTGTGCAATATACAAATTTTATTATATGTAAGTATACGTTCTGAATTGAAGTTATTTTAATTTTTAATAGTTTGGGGTTTTTTTTGTCTATAAGTATACCTGTATATTTTTAGGGAATATTACCGATTTTACAGTAAAGGTTTACATACGATATTATAAAATAAGGAGATGCAAACACAGGCACTTGTCTCTGATTTTTTGCATATGTACCTTTATATTGCCGGTGGGTGCCAATAAGCCAACTATCCACCAGAGTCCAAATGACGTGAATTTGAACAACTATAGGTATCCGTACGGACTTCAACAATGATCAAAACCCACACCGTATATTCAGCTATATAAGACTACGATATAACAATTCAAACGAAAATATCAAAAGCTTAATATATTACAAAACAATAAACAAAACACAAATATGAAGCGGGCAGCAACTAATGATAGTTATTGCTTGAATAACAGGCTCCTGAATAGGGAGAGGTACACATATGATGTGGCTGGGTTAAACATGCACATTGCTTATTTGTTTTTGTTTTGTTTAGTTATCTCGATTTAAATAAGTCAACATGATAGTTTCTAAAGAAGTATAATTTATAAGCTACAGAAACGTTAAAGTTGCAAAATATATTATTAAAAAATCAATTTACAAACTGTACTCACCAGTTATGAAATAAAGGAATATCAAAAGAGATATTTGGAATGGTTCTAGCGCCATTTTGCAAGTGTTATATAGAGACTACAACTCAAATGGGAGAAGTTTTTAGTTTTTAAGCCTCTAATCAATTAAACTTAAAAGAATTAGGTCTTTAAATTTAGAAGTTTATAATTCAAAATATTAGCTTCGTTAGCTGTTGATCTCCAAATATTATTTTAATCTGTGTTCATGTCAGAAAAATTTATTAGGGCGTAAATGTCATTATAAAAATACAGTGTACTCTATATACAGTCGACCGAAATAACCGCTGATCTGCGTCTGCTAGCGACGCTTTTCGAATTCGTAATGAGCTTTCACTGGGATGTAAGTGCTAAGGACACGGATCTAAAAGTGATGAAAAAAGTGTTAAGCTAAAGTCAGCTATCTCCATTCTATCTATTTAAAGTGAAAGTTTTTGCTTATATTCTAGCATGAACCCTAAAGGTGCACAGATGAACTCCGAGTATTTCACCCGTGACAACAATTTATATTTGTTTCAATCATGTTTTTTTACCTTGCAAATTAATGTATTTATTCTTATGTAATCGGTGGACAACTGTTTGATGAGCTTTGATCGTGTTGTCAACATGGAACAGCAGATAAAGCACTTTTATTTTTTTCCTGAATTGGTTATCTGTGAGCATTTCATGTACATCCGTCCTGTTCAGCAAAGTGGGTTGAATGTATAATCGGATTATTTATGTCATTGAACTTGTCACAGTCAACAGACAATGGTATATTAAATTTTGCTTTCATATCAATGAACTTAACTGAAAGTCAGTGTGTATCTACGATATATCTTATGCCTTCCAAGCAAACAATTTAAAGTGTGATCATGACCTACTTTGTCTGACCAACATTGACATAAAGTGCACTCTAACGAAATTTTTACCCAATTGCTAAATGAAAAGGAAATTCAAATATATGAACATGATTTTCGATTTGAAAGAAAATTATGACTTACAAAACTTTTGAATTTTACTTTTATTACTATTAAAGTAGATGGGGAGTCTAAATTAAAATCCATAGAATTTTTTTAATAATTTGCCAAAATGTAGTTTATATCATGCTTTTTTTAAAAATATAATAAACTGTATGGGTCATGGGGCTTTTTTTCAAGCTGCAAGTTGTGCAAAAGTTGTCAGATTTAGTATATATTATGCATGGAAACTCCTTCTTTGGGTGATAAAAAAAGAAAACTAAACCATAGAATTTAAAGATAAAATATGAGAAATAGCTCTTATATTGTGCTTTCAGAAGATAAAAAGAAAAAGTGGGGCCATGAGACTCGCTTTCTTGCAACAAAACAAAATAGGTTAATCCAAGCACATTCATTTAGAAAAGTAACTTTAACTGAGTTATCTTCCCTAAAATGGCAAATCTCAGTGACTGAAAATTAATTGAAACAAAATGTATTCTGTATTTGTAAGAAACAGTTGTAAAAGTGTTATAAACCAAATTATTTTCTTCATTCAGTTGAAAAGTGTAACAAATGAATTACATTCTTCTCTCGAAATTTGCCCATTTCATTAAAGATCTAGACCGACTGTTTCCTGCTATTTACAATCCAAAATGGAGGAAGACATCCGATCTACCTTAAAGGGCTGTGTATAATAGATTGCATTTCGGTATGAAATTATGTTATTTAGATTCAAATGCAAACTCGTGAATGACATAAAAGTTACATTTCTTTCATTTCCATGTGGGAAAAGAAACAACCTGACCACTGGAGCGTAAAAACAAGATCACGGCCTTATATGACATAGATTTCAGGCTGAGATATACTTCTCACATACAAATTATTGTTCAATCATCATGTCATTTACTGGAGAACAATCAGGACAATTAGACATATAACAGATGGACATACACATCTCATATACCATATTGATGATCTATGATGTATAATTCAGGGGCGGATTCAGGCGGGGGCGTGGCGGGCGTGCCCCCTAAAATTTGCAAAGCATGGGTTGTCCTCAGCTTAATAAAGAATATTTCGATAATTTTACCTAAAAAAAAATTAAGTTTGCGCCCCCTAACCTTAAATCCTGGATCCACCTCTGTAATTACTGAATTTAGTACAATTAATCTGACACTGGAACCTGGGACTATTATGCTAATAGTATAATAGTCCAAGCTGGAACGTGAAATTTAGGTTATGGTCAGGCGCAAATCAATGGATGAGTATGTCTTTTCATCAACCTTCTATAGCATTTTGCCAATAGTGCACACGCTGAAATGTCTCGCCTACTATACTGACCATGCAATGATTTTATGTTGATAGTCCTACATATAAAGTTTTACTACAACATCACATTAACATTTACGATCCAAGAAAATGAGGTCAAGGTCAGATAAACCAAGGCGGAAATACATGTACACCTTTAATACAATCATGCCATACACAGAATATAAATGACCTATAGCTTATAGTATAAAAGAAACAGACCAAACAATGGAAATACCATATTGACCAATAAAACCATGGAAATGAAGTCAATGTCAGATGAACCCTGCCAGACAGACATGTACACCTTAAAATCATTCCATGCATCAAATATAGTTGACCTATTGCTTATAATATCTAAGAAACAAAGTTAACCAGGAAAAATGAACATTGACCAACGAACCATGAACATGAGGTGAAGATCATATGATACCTGCCAGACTGACATGTACATCGTAAAATATTTCCATACACCAAATATAGTTGACCTTCTGCATATAGTATTAGAAAAACAGACCAAAACACAAAAAACTTAACATTGAGCAATGAACTGTCAAATAAAACCTGCCAGACTGACATGTACATCGTAAAATATTTCCCTACACCAAATATAGTTGACCTACTACATACAGTATAATAAAAACAGACCAAAAAAAAACAAAACAAACTTAACATTGAGCAACGGACCGTGACAATGAGGTCAAGGTCAAATAAAACCTGCCAGACTGACATGTCTATCGTAAAATATTTCCATACACCAAATATAATTGACCTACTGCATACAGTATTAGAAAAACAGACCAAAACACAATAACTAAGCTATTACCACTGAACCATGAAAATGAGGTCAAGGTCAGATGACACCTGTCAGTTGGACATGTACACCTTACAATCATTACATACACCAAATATAGTGGACCTATTGCTTATAGTATCTGAGATATGGACTTGACCACGAAAACTTAACCTTGTTCACTGATCCATGAATTGAGGTCAAGGTCAAGTGAAAATTGTCTGACATACAAGAGGACCTTGCAAGATACACACATTCCAAATATAGTTATCCTATTACTCATAATAAGAGAGAAATTAACATTACAAAAAATCTTTATTTTTTTTTCAAGTAGTCACTGAACCATGAAAATGAGGTCAAGGATAATGGACAGATGACAGTCTGAAACTTCATATCATAAGGCATCTATATACAAAGTATGAAGCATCCAGGTCTTCTACCTTCTTCAATATTAACCTTTTAAGAAGTTAGTTAAAGCTGCCCCTGGATCACTTTCCCTATGTTGAGCTTTCTGCGACAAAGGTCAAAAGCCAAAGTCGCAGATGAGAAAAGATGCTTTGGACAAAGTTAAAATTCAAGTCACCTAAGAAATATTCATAATAATGCATTATTATCAATATTTAAAAATCCAAATAAATATAAAAATAAGAAGATGTGGTATAATTGCCAATGAGACAACTCTCCACCAGAGCCCAAGTGACATAGAAGCTAACAACTATAGGTCACTGCACAGCCTTCAACAATAAGCAAAACCAATACCACATAGTCCACTATAAAAGGCCACAAAATGGCAAATGTAAAACCATTCAAACGAGAACACTAACAGCCTGATTTATGTAAAAGCAACAAACGAAATACAAATATGATATACAGGTTGCATTTCTGTAAATATAGACAATGCAATTTCCCGTAGGAACTCCCTTTACAGCTAAAACTGTGCCACTTTTACTATGAAGTTTCGTGAAAAATTATATCCTAGATTGGAAAGTTGATATGCACTACTTTTTTATTCAAAGGTCAAAACATAGGGCTGTGCGGCATATTTTCAACATTTATATGCCCCGAACCTCGAAGAGTTTAAACTTATACTAAAGTTCTGTAATACCCCTACCTTCACTTTAGGTGACCCTCAGAATTCAAAATTCCCTGCAACCTTATGTAAATATACTGGTAACATTCCCAAGTCATGTCTTTATGAGACATATAGAGATCATATCTGGGAACCAGTATGTAAACAAACAAATTTTTAAAGAATTTGGAAACAAGACTTTAATAATTGTCAGCTTAACCTATGTGCATGTTTTCTGACATGTAATATCTAGAACCTGTTGGAAACTGTTCTGATAATAAATTGAAAGCATTTCAGAATACTATAAATATAAAGTTTAGTAGTTATTAATTCCAACATTCAAGATCATATAAAGTATCCAATCCTGCATCTGTCTCCAGTCCACATCTTACTGTATGCCTATTTATCAATAAAAGTTTACAGCTTCTGCCTCAAATGGTCATTTTAGAAATCCATTCACAAAAATATTATCTCTCACCATATACCTAACATATAATTTAGCTAATATATGAACTAGAAGTGTTTAAACAGAGCCATATTTGCAAAATTTGTATATGTAAAATTAACAGTCTGATGTATGAATTCACTAAAAGTTTTATAGAACTGACTGCTTACATCTTTTTTTTTTTGCATAGCTTCCAAGCACAGTTATTGTTTTCTATACAAAAGACATTTAAAATGATAAAAATCATAGCATTTACAGGTTAAATTATCTGTTTAATGACCCAGGGGTAGGCATTTTTCTGTTTTTTTGCCACTGGGGCCTCAAATTTGCTAAAAAATTCTGCTGTTTCTGTGAATATGGAATATTAAGTACAATGTACATATTTAGGATAGAACACACTATTGTTAGTTTTATTGAGGTATTTTTGCATTTCTAGCTTGTATTTTTTATGCCAGGTCACAAGAAAGCACATTCAGATATTACAGCTTCCTTTTGGGTTATC